GCGCTATCAGCCTCTCCCGGGCGATCCGAACAGTGGTCGCACGTCGGCGCGGCTGCTTTACGAATACGGTGTAAGTACTCGTTAAAGCAGCCGTGGCCGGACATCACTTGGGTGAGACGATAAGTCATCTCACCGTGAGTCCGGTCCACCCACCTGTCCAGCCGATCGGGTCCTATGAGGGACCTGGTCCATTCGCCTCTCGTTTCCTCCGAGAGGCGAGTCCGCCACCGGAGCATGGTCATCCGCCTGAGCGCCAGCCGGTCCTCGGGTTCGAGGGACCGGTTTCGCTCTCGGCGGAGCTCATGCCCGGCGGCGCGTTCCTCGGCGAGCAGATCGGCGGGCGGCAATGACGACAGGATACCCGCCGCCACTCCGGACACCGTTCGGTAAGCCGAAACTGTCCGGATCGCCGCCCGCCTTTGCACCCTGAGCAGGGCTTCACGGTTTTTGGACGAATACTCAAGAGTATCCGCCCAAACCGGGGACCCGTACAGGAGAACCGAGTGTACGACGCTGACTAAAAGTCTACGCCGCATCTCTCTCGGCCCTCCCAGATTGGGCATTAGTCCCGCCAAGCAATTCATGACTTTCTAGGCCCGCTGGGCCGCACGAGTAATGTGCGGCCCGAACTTTAGACTTTTGTCTATGACAAGGCCCAGATAAGTCATGGAGTCCTTAAGCGGGATCTCCACCCCCAGCACGGCGAGCCGTGGAGGAGTGAACTTGTACCTGCCCGTGAACAAGACCGCTTCGGTCTTGTCCAGGGCGAGGCTAAGTCCACTCCCCTCCTGCTGGATCCAGGCGGAGACTGCTCTGAGCGCGCAGTTTGCCCGGGATCCAGCCTCCTCGGACGAGGCGCCTTCCGCCACCACCAGCGTGTCGTCCGCGTAGCAGACGACACGCACGTGCGGTGGTAGCGGAACGCGGAACACCGCGTCGTACGCGATGTTCCACAGCAAAGGCCCGAGAACTGACCCTTGCGGGACGCCTCCCGTAACAGGTCGGATTCTCGGGCCCGCGGCGCTCTCGTAAGAGATGACCCGATCGCTAAAGTACGACCGGATCATCCGCCCGAGGTAAGGAGGCACCCGAAACTCGTCCAGCGCTCCGAGGATGTGTGACCATCGCACGGAGTTGAACGCGTTTCGGATGTCCAGGCTCACCGCCAACCCGAAGCCCTGCTCAGTTTTGGCCCTGAGGGCCAAGTCCCTGAAGAGGGAGGCCGCATCGTCCGTCGACCTCCCCCTCCTGAAACCATACTGGCCCTCGGCCAGTCCGCCGACGTCGGCCAGGTGGGCTTCGATCCGGGTGACGAGCAGCCGCTCGAGGATTTTCCCCAAGTCGTCCAACATGCAAAGCGGTCGGTACGACGAGGGGAGACCCTCGGGCTTGTCACCCTTTCTCAGAAGCACCAGCCTGGCCTTCTTCCACTTCGTGGGGAATTCACCCTCCGAGAGGCAGCGGTTCGCGACGGCGCGTATCCAGTCCGGGGCGAGGTCGTTTACCAACCCCCACACCCGGTTTGGAATCGCGTCAGGGCCGGGAGCTGTGTTCCGGCCCCGTACGCGCGCCACCGCGTCGGCCACCTCCTGGGTGGTGAATTCCTCCACCGACACGTCGTCCCCGAACGCAGGGGGAGGCAGAGGCGGGTGTGTCGGAAAGAGCGTGTCTACCGCCCTTTCCAGCACTTCCGCCTCCAGCTGACCGGAAGCCGGTGAACCGCGGAGCTTCCGCATAACGACCCGGTAGGGTTTCCCCCACGGGTCGTGGTCCACCGACTTCACGAGTTCGGCCCAGCACTTCGCTTTGGCCCGCCTGATGGCGAGCTTCAGCTCTTTGCGGGCCGACCTCAGCGCCTCCCTCGGGTCCGGGGATTCCGGGTCCCGCGGCCAACGGTTGGAGCGCGTCATAGTCCTCCTGACCCTGACGCACTCCTCACGCCTGACCGCCACCTCGGCGTTCCACCAGTGGACTGGCGGTCCGCGAGTCGACGGCGGTCGTTTGGCCGGGAGGGCGAAGTCGCAAGCTGCGACCACCCTCCGGTCCAACTCTTCCGCCGCTTCGCTCGCGGAGACGCGCCGGTCCGGTACCGCGGGCGCCGACCATTGAGCGAGCAGTAAGCCCGTCTCAAAAGCGTCGACGTCCGTGGCCGGTCCGACTCGCCAGCCCACTCGCCCACTGCGAGACGGCACGCGGGGCACGGCTCGAGGGGGACGGCCACCATCGCCGCACTCGTACACGATGTACCGGTGGTCGCTGAGGTTTTCCCTGTACGGGAGAACCGACCAGCCGGTCACGTGCGGGTGCAGCGACGGAGACACCAGCGTGACGTCCACCACCGAGCTCGAGGAGTGACCCTCGAACGTCGGGGTGGATCCCCTGTTGGCCGATACCAGCCCGATGGCCGACATCAGGTCCAACAGTTCTTCGCCACGCTGATTCGTGTCCGCCGACCCCCAGACCGGGGAGTGAGCGTTGAAGTCCCCGGCCACGAGCTCCCCGCGGCCGTCGCGCGGCCGCCTGAGTCTCCTCGCCCGTAGGCAGGAGGACACGGACTCGAGGAGTCCGGCGATCGGCAAGCTGGGCGGCGCGTAGCAGCTCAAGACGTCAATGCCGTCAATCCTCGCCGCTACGAATCCGTCGCCAACCTCGATGTCCGCGACCGTTAGGCCGCGGCTCATCACTCCGATCGCCGCTCTCCCGGACCGGTCCAAGTACCACCCCGGGGCGTCCTTGATCAGTCCGACAAACGGTTCCGAGATTACGCACACGTCGATACGCATCTCGTACACCGCCTGCCGGACCAGATCCTGCGCCGCCCTGCAATGGTTGAGGTTCGTTTGAAGGAACCTCATCCACTGGTGGGCGGCGCGCAGGACGCCTTAGGGGTCCCTTGGACCGCCGACACCTCTACTAGAGGCTTCCCCGCAGCCCCTCCCTCGGTCCCCTTAGCTTGGGGACCGGGGCAGTCCTTGGACAGGTGCCCCACCCTCCGGCACCTGAAGCAGGCACCCTTGCGGTCCGGGCCTTTGCAGGCGGCCGCAATGTGCCCTCGCTCCAGGCACCTGTAGCACTGAGGACCCTTGTCTTCAAGAACCCTCAGCCTACAGGAGCTCCACCCCACCCTCACTCGCGTGAGGGCCGCAAGGCGTGGAGCTAACCGGACTGGCAGGTCGCACCTGGCGTACCGCCCCTTGCCGAATCCGTTGGTGCGGACCGTTACCGCACCAACTTCGGCCTGGCCCCCGTTTGGGCCCTGGAGGGCGGAGAGCAGGGCACACTTAATGTCGCCCGGCTCCATCCACTCCTCCACGTCAAGGAGCATGACGCTGCAGGTCTTAATCGGCCTAGTAACCCGCACGTCATGCTCCTTCAGTGCCTCCCGTAGCCTGGCAGCTAGGAGGTTCGCATGGGAGGCCGCGCCCTTGACCTCCAGCAGTACTGCCCCAGCCTGGGTCCTACGGGTGCCGACAACTTGGACCCCTGGTCTGGAGGTCAACAGCCGCCATTGCCGTTTTCATAACGGCCGCGTACTGCTGCCCCTCCTTCAGGGGGCCAATTACCACCGCCTCCGTGCGTGGTACTTTCGCTCTCAGTTGTGCGGCTGAGGGACCCTTCGCTGGAGGTTTTGAGCGCGTCTCCATCTTGCCCTTCGTCACCGAGTCCTCTGGCCGTTTGGCCTTTCGGCCAAGGACCTCAGTCCACTTCGTGGCAGTGACCGTTGCTTCTTCAGCGGCGACATGGGCAGTACCCATTACTGGCGGATGGTCAGCCGCAACCCCGTTGGGCGCCAGCACCTTTTCGGCTCCAGCTGTGATCCCCCGAGATTTCTTCTTCTTTTTCTTCCTCCCCTTTTTCTTCTTCGTGTCTATCAGTATTTCCGCGGACTCAACTGCTGGCATAACGCAGCCCGAGGAAATCTCGGCGACGTTAGCCCTGGATGGAGAAGCAACCTTCGTGTCCTTCGGTTGGTCGGTCTGAGTAGACCCGTCAACCATATCCGAACACTCCGGTGCTTCAGGAGTTCGCGTGTGGTGAAGATCCGCCAGGGCCCTAACACTTTCGATCAGAGCCACCGCCATCTTCACCACGCGCCGGTGCGGGTCGTACACCTCCATCACGTCCTCCAACGCTTGGGCCTGCTCCTTGGCAAGTAGCAGACCATCGCTCAGCAGTATCTCGCTTGTCGGAAGGTCCCTCTTAGGCGTACCGTCTACATTAAATAGGTCGGCCGCTGTGTAGTCCATAAGCTTGGCTTTTTTGGCCTTCTTCTTTGACGGACGCGGAGTCACCGGCATAGGCAATAGCCTCTCCGGCGGTGTGTCCTCCAATGAAGATGCCAAATCCTTGGGAGGCATTGGGGAAGTCTCCTTCCTTTTAGGTCGTAGGGACTCATCTTCCTCAAGTCCATTCATCCCGGAGGTATTAGCCACTCCCATCGATCCCTCAGGAGATTGCGGCAACATGACCGTCTTCTCAGGATGGGTCAAGCCACCTTTTCTGTTACCCGCCCTAATGAGCCTCTCTATAATGGAGATGGATCCCGATGGTACCGGTAAAGGCTGTTGTTGCTCATCAGCCAACCCATGTGCCACTTCCATTGAATCCCGCGCGGATTCGGGCACATTTGCAGTAACCTCGGTGACACTATGGCCACCGGAGAATGCCTGCTTCTCACATTCTCCAGCAGTAGCTTGGGCGCGAACGCCCCCTGGACCCTGCCTCAACAGTCCAACGGTTTTTGCGCAGTCGCTGGATGACGACCGGGTCGAGCCTGCAGCGGTACTCTCCCCAGCCGGTCCTGGAGTCTCCGATACTCCTGGAACCGTAGCTGTTTTTTTAACATGGTGACCTTCCATCTTTGATTTTTGAGGTAAATTCTAACCTGCGTTTTACCTACCGCCAGGGGATTTGTTTTCGGTGTTGCCTTCACCTAGGTGGTTGCCTTGCTAGGCTACCGGGCCCACCCGCCCGTTATGAAATTACCCTCGAACGCTACCGCTTATTCGTCCACTCTAGGAGTGGCTTATATCACGGCTACCCTGCATATCTGCAGGGCTAACGAGCGAACGAGGAGCTCGCTGTCCGCGACCGCTTATTCGTCAGTCCAAATTAATGGACTGCTTATTTCGCGGCTAACCTGCATATCTGCAGGCCGTTCCTCTATCCGCAACCTGAGGACGCGCCCGATTCCCCGAGCTAGGGAAACTGCGCTCGTGCCTACGTTTCGTGGCCCCGTAGAGCCCGATCCAACCGACACTGTCGCGCAGCGAAACGGGCGCCACAAGATGCGCGAGGACGAGTATTAACAATTGCCACAATCTACCCAACAAAAACTTTCAAAAAACAGATTTGAATATATCCAATTGAGGTATCTAAGTTAAAAAAGTTACAGTACTAATACTGGAACTGATTACTAAATCTGTATGAACAATACTTTCTAACTTGAATAAGAAAAGAATAAACATTTCTTAGCTCAAAATAAGGTTTTGTTGCAATACAGCTATTCATGTATACAATACTATTAATGAGTTTCAATATTGTAATCGAAAAATAAATATTATTTGATACACAATTTGAATTAGTAAAAAAAAAAATTCAAATATCTTATNTAAATATTATTTGATACACAATTTGAATTAGTAAAAAAAAAAATTCAAATATCTTATTATACAGGGTGTTCAGTAAGTCAGGAAACGGATTTCTATTGTTCTCATTGTTACAAACAATGAGAACAATAGAAACCCGTTTCCTGACTTACTGAACACTCTGTATAATAAAAATTTAAAAATTATACAAGAAAAATATACTTGAAAAATTATTTAATAATGTCCGATTTTCAATTTTTTTTTTTTTTAATATCAGAACTTGACATTATTTTAGAAAAATTGATTGCCAAGATGAAAAAAAAATTTTTTGCAAGTCATGAGCGTTTAAAATTATTATCAAAAACGCTCATTGTAGACAGACTATTTTTATTTAAAATCTGAAAATATTACCAGGCATATTCAGACATATTTTAAAGGTACCCTAAAAATTTCTTTAAAATTTGTTGATAATTCATCGAATTATGAGCTTTCTATTTTTTAAGGAGTCCATGCGCGTAGTTTTTTTTGCTCCGATGCGAAGCTGAGAAGGTATTAATTTTACTATGATGCATTTTTTTTTGTCTACGCCACTTTTTCCTAGCTTACACTAGACCGATTTTATTCGACAATATGCCAAAGTATGACAAATCATATCTAGTCGACAAAATTACCCTCAAAAATTGAAAAAATTTCCCTCGTTCCCTGAAAATGGACAAAATCCCCTGAAAAACTACAATTTTTAAAATCGATAAATTTTGACAATTCTTTTATTTTTTTTTATTTCGTAACTTATCATAACTTTTTGAAAAATGAACATACCAAAATAATTTTGTATATAGACACCTTAGATATTTCCCTTCTATTTGATATTATTTTTTTGAAAATCTGACCCTTTACTTGCCCACGGTAAGGAATTCAAAATAGAATCTTTTTCGCAAAATTTAATGTTTTCGAAATAAATTTTGAAAATGTTCCGGAAATACTGCGTCCTTTTAACATATGTTAAATTAAAGCTTATGTTACGTATTATAAATAATTTATTTAAAATGTACGTAATCTCAACATTAAATTAAATGAGTTTTTATTAGAAGTTATTATTAAAAATTTTAAATAACAAATTTAAATTTATGTGAATATTTACTTAAAATGAACAAAACATTAATAAATAAAATATAAGACCACAAATTAAAAACACTTTATATAAATGCAAAGTCTCACTAATATTACTTTATATAATTTTATTATATTTGTTCCTTTTAAACTAAGTTTGAAATTTAAAAAATATGATTATTATATCTATTTTGACAATTTTACTATTTAATTTTTTATTGGTGAAATCTGAAAACAAACAACGACATTGCAATTTTTCTAGGTACATGTTGAATTTTTTTAAACATAATGAACAGTATTTGTTACATTTGGATAAAAATTTAGAAAAAGTAACCGAAGAAGATTTAAATAAATACGACAAAGCTGTTAAATACCATGGTAAAATTGTAATATTAATGATAAAAGAACTTTATTATGATCACAATGACTATTATCTATCAGATTTGATGACGGTAAATATGTATTTAAATAATATTTCTGGATCATTAATTGTAATTTATAAAGATGAAGCAGTTAATAATATCAAAAATAATAAAGTGTTTCTCAGTTTAAAAGGTTTAAAATTACTTAATCATACTATGATAAAATGTTTAGACAATTATATAAAGTTCAATTGTACTGAAGAACCAATTATGTTATTTGTCGAATATCCTATCAATTTAATACCATCTCATATACTAAATATTGACCAGTTAAGTATAGCTACAAAATGTCTTATGAGAAAATTATTGAAAGAAATAAATTATAAAAAAATCAAAAATCGAGACCGACAATTGTTCCACCCAAAAAATATATTATTTTATAATATAATGACGAAAGAGTCAGAAAAAAATCTAACAATTGGTACTAAATCAAAACGGCGTCAAAATCTTGAAGATGGTAAACCAATAGATGTTTTAGATCTCCTAAGATTTGTTCCACTTAATATAAAGTGCGCTGACGAAACTCACCTAACTCTGCTAGATTTATATCGTTACGCAGAGTATCAATTTTTATTCATTGATATAAGAACTTTCCATAAAATATTACGTGGAGCTTTATTTTATCCTGTTGGAGTACTTATATCTGATTACATGCATTTTGTAAACGTGTTTCGCAATTGTATAGTCTTTAAAAAGGATAACAAAATTGTTCAAGATAGTTTAGTTACCTTAGGAATGAAAGTGGCACTCAACCTTCAAACATTTATGAACCTGAATATATACAATGAAGAAAGTTTAACTTTTCTTAAAATAATGATTATAAGATTACACTTTATTCTAAATTGGGTAAGTGGCACTCCACTTCCAAATAAAGATTTACCAGAGATGATATTTAAAGAAATAGAAAAATTCATGTTAAATTACAAATTGATGTTCGACTTAGAATCTGAGAAATTTTTTCCTGGAAAAAATGTAGTGGATACACATAAAATGATATTAGAAAAAGCGAATCTAGTTGAATCTTATATTCAGGAACTAAAAAAACATGTAAATTTATTTTATTCAGATAATAATTTACAATTTTTTTGGAAAATTTCTGATATAAATTACAGACACTTTTTAATGCCAGATATAATTGGTAAGCTTTCATTTATTTTTAATATACACATGTATGACACAATTTATTGCAATTATATACAATTATTTACAATTTTTAAATAACATTAATTTGAGTTAAAATAAGGTATGAATACATTATTTTAACTATAATTTTTAATATAGGTCGATTTTAATATAGAGTGATAAGTTTATCATAAAACTTTCCATTACTCACAAAATAAATACAATATTGAAAAAAAAATGTTTGATCTTTTCAATTAAATTTCTTGATTCATCAGCTATTAATTACTCTCTATAATTATCACTTATAGCTTAGAAGGGTGTCAACTTAAATGGCAACTTACTTATTTAACTAGCTTATAAAATAGAAAATGATTAATTAAGAAAAAGAATGGTTTATAACAACATATTGAAAAAAACCCAGCACGTGATATCGTAGCACTGTAGGGACGTAGCATAGTCGGGACCAATATAGATGATATCTGACAGTGATTAAAATCACTATCATAAAAAACGCTTCGATGCAAATCTGTAGATAGAGTTTAATTTTAAAAAACCCAGCACAGGGGGGTCGCGGCACAGTAGTGACGTGGCATAGTTGGATCAAGTATAATGATATCTGATAGTGATTAAAATCACTATCAAAATAAAACGCTTCGATGCAAATCTTTAAAGTGTTTAATTTTAAAAAATTGGTGTATTATTCCAAAAGCTACATGATCTGCTAGTTCCTTATTAATATCCTGATTAAGATAATGTATGTCGAATACATACACTTTTCAATAAGTTATAGCTAGACCCCGGATTTGTTTGCACTCAAAAAACCTAAAATAATATGCATTTATGCATCAAAAAACTTCAAAATATGTATTAGATATGCTCTTACCCAAAATATATGCATTTATTATTTTTTTTAATTTCTTCCATAAATAATTCGACTTAATTAGATAAACTTAATTTTTAATTATATTATCAACTTAAAACGTTAATTAAAGAACAGTAAATATTTAAAAATATATTCAATGAATAAAATAAATACTTTAATTCAGAATAATAAAAAATAAATATGTATTAATCCTCTTTTACCATTTATTTGGTAAATATTTATGATAAAAATACAAAATAAAAAAATTGTATAAAAAAAAATTTAAACCAATAAAAACATAATTTGGTTATTAATAAAAAATATTTTGTTACAATGTATGACTTTTATTTTTATAAAAAGAATTGACAATAATATATTTTTCCATGTGCTCAGGTGTCACATTTGTTCTTCTATGACATAGTATATGTTTATAAAGACTAAACCATTGGCCACAGAACTAGGGTTGAAGTTTTCTGGAAGTTGTATTTCATTGTTACCTGATATAATTAGTCCAATTTGTTCCATTACTTGAAACCCTTTATTTTTCTTATATAATTGAGATATTTTAGTTTTTATAATAGAACCTTTGTCATCCTGTATATTTGATAGTTCTGAAATAATATTTTTCATAATCTCTAGTGATTCTAATAAAGTTAATTTAGTATCTTCTAAATTTGTAATTGCCCGAATGAGTCCAGAAAAGTTATTTTTTATAAATGCTAAATCATTTTTTATTGTTGGCAAATTCAACATTTTCTTACAACTCTCTAAACTTGCTGACGATTCATTGTCTAGTTTTTCTATTACAGTTTTAATACCTTCATAGTTATTTGAATTAAATATAACTGCTTCTATCCACGTACCCTATCTTGTAATAACTGGTTCAGGTGGCAATGGCAAACCGGGAAGTATTTCTTTATAAAGTTGAATACGATAAGGTGACTTTAAAAAAGATTTTTTCAAATTGTTTATTAATTTATTTACATTTGGGAATAATTCCCTAACTTTTTCTACCACCCTATTTAACATGTGTGCAACACATGTTGCGTGTATAATACTTGGGTAAAATACTTTTATTGCATCTCCCGTTTTTAACATATATGGTTGGGTTGGGTTTGCGTCTGATACAAACAACCGGAGGTTTTCATCGTTTCCCCCTGCAGGCCATAATATTTTTAAGCTGTCATTAATGAACCGAGATACTGTAGAGTGATTAGTTTTAGGCAGTTCTTTAGATGCTAAAAGATAGGGTTGACTTGGTGTATCATGTTTTAAAACGCCAACTATTAAATTTGCTATGTAGCGGCCGTTTGTATCAGTTGTTTCGTCAACAGCGATCCAAATATCTGAGTTGCTAATAACTTCTCTTATTGCAATAACATTATCATAACATGGACCAAGATAATTTTTTCTTAATGTACTCTCGTTGGGAAGTATACAGGGAAACCTGTATACTTCTCCAAAAAATTCTTGAATTCAGGAATTTGAAGTTTATTCCAAGGTATATTAGATACTAACAAAGCTAAACAAAGATCCTCATAAAAAACGTTACCAGATTTCGATTTTGCATCCAATACAAATAATTGTTTTTTGTTTTCATTTACTCTACGTTTTAAAGCACTATTATGAAAAGCGGTATCAACGTGTTGATGTAATTGAAATTTTTTTGAGCACGCGATTTTTTTGTCACACAATTGACAAAACACTACAGAGCCGTCCGTGGTAAAAACGATTTGGTCAGTTTTATTATAAAGACCAATCCATGTTTTTAATAAAGTAGGTATAGAGCTACGACTTTTCGGTATTTTAAAATCTAATCGTATTGAAATATAAATTGTAATTTATAAATTTACGGAACGCAGATCGCAAAATGATGTATGGACACTAGTGCACTATTGTCTGGGGATTATGTCCGATAACCACGACGCGGCGTGTATACAAAATATAACACTAAAAATAAAACTAGTTAGCATTGTTGCGATAAACGAATTATAATTTTAACATGAACTGTCTACAAATATAACATACAATGAATAACATTTATTTCCCCAAAAATCGTAATGAACTAATAATTTCTACGGTGAAATAAAAATTAAATAATTGGCTAAATAAACTTTTATACAAAATATGCTTGAATATGCAAACATTTTCAAATATGCATTTATATGCAAAATAAACTTTTTCCTGTGCATTATCTGTTACACAAATCATCCACATTTCTTACACCATTCGAAATGCATACACTCATTACAAATATGCAAATGCATACAAATCCGGACTCTAGTTATAGCATTATAAAGTTAAAAATGTAAAAAATAAAATCGAAAATTTTCACACAATAATAGCATTCGGTAGCCATTTTTATTAACTTTGATGTCTATTTTCACCACGAAGACAAGTCCAGAGGTCAAGTTGACGTAAGAAATCCGTTCGGTGAGAGCTGAATAAAAGTGGTAACAGACACAAAAAATAAAAACACATCATAGTAAAACCAATATCTTCTCAGCTTCGCATCGAAGCTAAAATTATTGGATTATTCTAAAAGCAACATGATCTTCTATTTTCATATCTATATCCTAATTAAAAGTTTTATAATTTATAAGTGTAATATATGAATAAATATTTATTATAGCAATTAAATATAGTATAAAATTTATATGTAATAATTTAATATTGTAATTTTGTACAAAAATCGTAATTTTAATTATCAACTTTGATCCCCGTTATCACCATGAAAACAAAATGAAGTCCGAACTTTTTTGTTTCATATTAAATATAATAATATAAGCTTCAATTTAATATATATAAAAGTGTCAGTGTTTCCGAAACACAGTCAAAAATCAAGTTAAAAAAATT